GGACTCCGGTGGGTGACTCTCCCTGGGGTGAGAGAGATGCCATTTGTGCCAGTGGCGTGCTGGTACCTCCTCTTGGGAAGGCTGGGCTTCCACGTTTCCCTCTGGTCTATGGGCGTCTGCCCAAGTCTGTGTTGTGCAGGTTTTCCCAGACCTCGGCAGGTGTGCTCGCTCCCACTGGTTCCGTGGCTTGCACTGAGGTCTGTGTGCTGGTTACTGATGCCCAGGTGGGTGCGACCCTGGGCCACGGGGCAGGGTGCTGGACCCCCTCCCCTGCAGAGGGGGCCTCCTCAGCCATCACAAAGAGGGACAAAAGGAGGGATGCGTGAGCTGCCTGACGAATGTTACTCCTGGGGCGACTTGGTTAATGGGAGGATCCATGAAGAGCTGGGGACACACGAGGAGAAAGAAGGAGGCACAGAATATTTACAGGCCCACGGGACTCCCGTGGCCCGGGCCTCCGCTTCCTGGGGCTCCCATTCCTGCCCATGCAATGCAGTGGCAGTGACGCCGTCCCTGTGCCACGGCCCGTGTGCCCTGGGCTCTGTGCACGGGGTGGGAGCCGGAATAAACCTCCGGGAACCTTTGCTGTGTCATCGTGGGACGCATCTGGCGGGAAAGGCTGCCCTCGGAGGGCGGTGCCCGTGCTTGCTGAGCCCGTTCAATTGCAGCGCACCAGGCGCCGGGACTGGGAGGCTGCGGATCCGGGCAGAGCAGCGCCCTGTGCACGTGTCTGTGCCTGACCCTGTAGCCCTTTCAAAAGCCTAAACTAGAGAGGCAGGCACTGGTATAAGAAGTGGTTCATTCAACAGCCAGCAGCCCAAGGAGACGGGGAACTTGCATTCCAAAGCCCATCTGCCCTCAGTGCACGCAGGGGCTTCTGGGAGGGCAGGGAGGGAAAGCAGAACAAAGGGATCGGGGAGGGGATGAAAAGGTCTCCACGTGCTGACGCAGTCCATTCCGATAAAGACATCAAAACTGGGCAAACTGTGGTCTGGTGTGTGTCGTCCTGGTTGAAGGTCAGCAAATCTCCTGGACCCGGGATGCCTTAAGGTCAAAGTCCGTATCTTTGGGAGTTAGTCCTAAGGATTCATATACAAACATGCTGTTTATCTACAAGCTGCGCACGAGTCAGAGTCAGCACTTACAGAAAGGAGGTGAAAAGAATGCTGGGGTGGGTTACCTGACCACACTCAACGGGGTGGCTGGGAGGTGGCCTCAGACAGTCCCCGACGCTGAAGCCCCACGTTCCTAAACCCCCAGGAGAGCGTACACGTGGTCAGTTTGGGGTCTTGAATTCACACCCCCTGCATGTGAAGGCACTCCACACGCCCGCCCTGTGTTGCTTCAAGTCCAAGGCCTGGTTTTCTAGTTCTTCGCCTCTGCTCTGGTGTGGCAGGGAGGACACAGGAGCTGCCATTGTCCATCCGTGGTGCTACTCTCTGCGTTCCATCCCCGTCACCCACAAAACTGAGAGAACACATTGGTTTACTGCGGCAGATTGGATGCGGCTGTTTCCAGAGGTGCCACCCGGCTATTGATGTCCTGGTGTGGGACCTGGGCCTGCTGCTACTTTCCTGGACTGTGTCCTGTGTGACCACTGGGTGTGCCATGGCCCATGGGGCCAGGCCAGGCCCTGACAGTGTGTCTGCCCTGATATTACTAGTCGTTGCATTCCTGGCCAGGTGGGTCCCCTTCCCAGAGAGTCAGGTGTGGTTGTGTCCTGTGCCCTGGCTGTGGGGACATGAGCCGAGCCACTCCCCCTCCTCTCCTCAGTGGTGGCTTGTGTGTGAGGCAGCTGGGTCTCTGAGGGACCTTGGTGAGCAGAGGACCGCTGGTCGCATGGGTGCGGCTGGGCCATGAGCCAGGAGGCCCCCTCCCCCGCTGCGCCGGGTCCCTCAGGACTGGAGGGAACACGGTGTCTCAGCCAGCCGGGTCCCGCCTCGGGGGGTGCTGGCTGCTGCCAGGTCTCACATACTGGAAGGAGTTTCCAGCACCTGCCACTGTTCCCATGTCTCCTCCAAGGCCACACTGCCTGCTCCGCGACTGTCCACGTGAACCATCTCCCTTGGCTGCACAGGGCCATTTGCCTGAGAAACGCTAGGAGGGATGGATGGAGTCCACCTACTGTGGCCAGTTCCTCACTGCTGAAGCCCCTCAGCGCGCGGTGGCTGCTGCGCCATTTTTCAATGAAAATAAAGATGTTGCGCTGAAAGCTCTTTATATTTAAGCAGAATTAATCTCAACTTTCCAAACTCAGGAAGCTCCTGCCTTGGGATTTTGAAACAAGAAGGGTCCCTAAGTCATCTGACTTGGACCCCACATATTCTTTTTATTAAAAGAAATTTTGTGTTATTATTATTTCAGTCTTCACCTGAGGATTTGTTTATTGATTTTTGAGAGAAAGGAAGAGAGAGACAGAGATATTGATGTGAGAAACATTGATCGATTTCCTCCCATGAGCCCCTGGACTGGGAATGGAACCCGCGACCTGGGCATGTGCCCCGACCAGGACGACACTCCAACCAGCTGAGCCACCTGTCCAGGGCTCATCTATTATTTTTAAAAAATTGGTTTTTTTTTAATGTTTCTTCCTTTAAACTGTGAGTTATATGCTGAACGGGATCCTGAGTTCTGTCCCGATTTAAGTTTAGTGGTGACCTGAAGGGGAACAGCAATGCCTTTTTTAATTTAAGTTTTTATTTGGAGACACTGGCACACGCACACGGAGCTGTCAGACACACAGACGCACCCCGCAGGCTTTACCCAGCTTCCCCCACCCAGTGGTAGAACCGAAGTCGACTCTTACAGCCACAGCCTCGGGGTAGAACAGTCCCGCCCCCCCAGGGCGCTTTTATGCCGACGCCCCTCCCCTTCCTTCCCGCAATGCCCCTCCCACAGACAGGCACTGATCCGCCCCAGCCGTTCCATCATTTGGCCATTTCAAGAACGGTATCCATTCTAAATGAAAGTTTTGCTGGATAGAGCAATCTTGGTTGTAGGTCTCTGTCTTTCATGACTTGGAATACCTCTTTCCAGCCCCTTCTTGCCTGTAAGGTCTCTTTTGAGAAATCTGCTGACAGTCTGATGGGGACTCCTTTGTAGGTGACTGTCCCCTTATCTCTTGAAAAACATGAACAGTGAAAGGACAGCAAACGCACAGTTATTAACAACCACACCTAAAACAAAAACAAACTAAAAGGGACAGCTAGATCAGGAGTGGAAACATAGAAACGAAGATCTCAAGGAGGGTTAGCAACAGGGGAGTGGGAGAAGGAGATGGGGGGAGAAGGTACAGAAAATAAGTAGCATAGGCGGTAGATAGAAAATAGATGGGGGGGCAAGAATAGTATGGGAAGTACAGAATCCAAAGATTGAGACACGTGGTCATAAACTAAAGGGGGGAATGGTGGGGGAGGGGGTGTGTAGGGTGGAGGGGAATGGAGGGGGGAATAGAACAACTGTAACAGCATAATCAATAAAAATAAATAAATTTTTAAAAAAAAGAACGGTATCCAAACGGAATTGTGCCCCAGGTGACATTTTGGAACTGGCTTTTCTCCCCACTCAGGGTGCGTCTCTGGGGAGTCTCCCAGGGTGTCGCGTGAGGCAGTGGCGTGTGCGACCCAGGGTGTCACTGAGGCATATTACAGTTTCAAGAGTTTTCTTGAGCAAAAATTGATTTGACTCTGACAGCAACAAACCAGAAGTGGTGATCCGTGGACCGGAGCGCAGGGAAAGGCTTTTACAGGGAAAAGGCGGAAGCAAAGCACGGATGTGACTTGATTGGCTGTGGCTTAGCATTTGCTTGCTGGGGAGGGGGGGAAACCTAGTCGGCTGTTTGTGATTGGTTGTCCTCTGGGTTTGATTTCTCTCTTTCTCTCCCCCTTTTTTTTTTTTTTACTGTTGACATTGTTATAGATGCCCCCATTCATCCCACCTTTGCCCACCTCCACCCAGATTCCACCCCCCTGATTTCAGTTTCTTACCCTTGAGCAATGAAAGGCTTAGATTTTGGCTTGCTTATGTGTGCTGCTAAGGCATTGGAACCACCTTGGTTCAATAGCCTTCTCGTTTAATTAAACAGGACGTGCCCTGGTGGGTGTGGCTCAGTTGGTTGCAGTGTCGTCCCATAAAGATTGCGGTTCAATTCCCAGTCAGGGCACTTCCTTGGTTGGGCTGTGTCCTGGAGGCAGCTGATCCATGTTTCTCTCTCACATCAGTGTTTCTCTCCCCTCCTGGCTCCCTCCCTTCCCCTCTCTCTAAAATCAATAAACGTGTTTGGGTGAGAATATAAAAATTTTAACAGAACACATAGTTTCATTTCTCTTGGGTAGATTTCCAGAAGTGAAATTGCTGGCTTCTGCGGTAAATTTATTTACCCTTTTAAGAAACCGTCAAACTATTTTCCACGATAGCGGCGCTGTTTTACGTGCCCACCAGCAATGCTCGGGGGTTTCCATTTCTCCATGTCCTTGACCTTCCTCGAATTTTGTCTTGACAATTACACGTCCATTTGGAATTACCCTCAAAGGGAAACGATGCTGCTGTGATTCAGCGGTGACACTGAAATGTCAATTAAATGAAGTGTTTGGCTGTGTACCTTTGCTTAAACAACAGCCTCAGCGACTGGGCAGAATTGATTTATGTTGTGGAACTAACGGTCCCGTTGCCTAGGGATTACATGGTGAATAATTAACGACAATTTACTGCAGGCTTCCTTGCAGAACATGCTTTATCCAGCCTCCTGCTTCCACTTGAGGCTCATCCAATTACTCAGGAAATAAAAGCACCTTTTTTCAGAAGGATGAATGGATGGCAGCTGGGCGTGTTTTGGGGTGCCCAGATTCTGAAACAGAAAGACCCATAATTTATACATTCCCTTCATAGACATGGCATAGCATGGCCGTGCTGACTGATACTTATAAGTATCAGACACAGGCTTTTGTTGTTTTAAATCCCCTGGGCATAGGAATACAGTAATTTTTTACATTTCTTTCCAGATCGTTCACAGGACTCTGGCAGCCATGCTGGGATCCCTGGCTGCCTTGGCGGTCCTGGCCGTGACCAGTGATGTAAGTAGTGACATTTCTTGTTGGGGCCTCAGCCTCGGACAGAATGTGAGATCAAAGACAGTTCAGGAACACTTTTTTTAAAGATTGTATTTATTTATTTTTAGAGAGAGGGAAAGGGAAGGAGACAAAGAGGGAAAATGTCAATGTGTGGTTGCCTCTCGTGCGCCCCCTACTGGGGACCTGGCCTGAAACCCAGGCATGTGCCTTGACTGGGAATTGAACTCATGACCCTTTGGTTTGCAGGCCCGTGCTCAATCCACTGAGCCACACCAGCCAGGGCTGTTTTTCACTTCTTCATGCACTATTTCCACATGTCCCTCCTGGAAGTAGCAGAGTTTATGGGACTGATGAGTATTTGTCATTTGACTTTAACATGCACACACACACTGCACCAGCGTCATCTCCGTCTTAGCTGAGCAAAGGTCACGTGGTCAGGCATTTGCATCAGGTTCTGTACTGCGGGGGGTCAGACCTGCCGTGTGTGGTACCCTGGGCCCTGAGGGGTGGGGTGGGTTCTGTCCTGCGGACCTCAGCTGGCCCCTGGAGATGCATGTCGGGGTGATGGCGCCCTGCTGGGGTCTGAGCACCGCCCCTGTGGCAGGGACGCGGGAGTGCACAAAGGGATGCGGGGATGGGGCAGGGGTCGCCGAGGGCCGGCTGGGGGCGGGGCTGCGGCCGTTGGAGTGGGAACGCTGGCAACCAGCAGCCGGGCCCCTCACAGAACTGGATTTGAGAACAGCTGTGTGGACTCCAAAGGCTTGCTCTGAAAACTGCTAGTAAAGGCCATTCAGTAAACCAAAGAATAATAACTGGTTTAAAAAACGACGTAGGGCCCGCAGTTATTATGCCTCCCCCCTTTTTCTGGGGTAGAGTTGCTATAAACCGTAAAAGGTCCCAGAGTCCCAAAACTCATACATAAACCACTGTTATGTTTATTAATTGTCAAGGAGGAGGGTGGTAGTAGTTTTTATTGTTTTTTTAAATCCTTACCCAAGGACATGCTTATTGATTTTAGATAGAGAGGAAGGGAAAGAGAGAGAGAAACATCGATGAGAGAAAGAAACATGGATCCATTGCCTCCCACATGCGCCCTGACTTGGGATCGAACCTGCAACCTTTTCTTACACAGGGCGACACTGCAACCCACTGAACCCCCCGGTCAGGGTGGCTCTTTTGTTTTAAAGATCATTACTGTGGCCCACGGAACGCACATGCGGGGGGCAGCCCTCCGAGCCCTCCTGGGCTCCTTTCCCGACTGCCAGGCTCTGGAAGTGCCCTCATGTCACACTCTGTGCTCCTGCTTCACTGTGACCTTGGCCTTCCCCGTGCTCCAGGGTCGTTCGAGGAGGACACGAGCTGGGCAGAAAGAGGGTAGGACAAGCGTGTCTTTCACTTGTCAGTGTCTTGGCCTCACGCCACCACCCGTAGGAAGGGCTCCACGGAATCCACTCGCCTCAGGCGCTGAGTCCGTAATGGAGGCTACAGTTCTTCACAGAGCTGCCAGGGGTGGGGCTTAAAAAGTTTACCCCTCTGGCCCTGGCCGGGTAGCTCCATTGGTTAGAGCATCATCCCAATATGCCAAGGTTGCAAGTTCAATCCCCAGTCAGGGCACATATAAGAATCAACCAATGAATGCATCCATAAGTAGAACAACAAATCAATCTCTCTCTCTCTCTCAAATCAATAAATTAAAGGGCTTTGCTTTTCTTATTACTAAAAGCACAGGCTTGACATTGGGATGCTTTGGGTCGAGAGTGTTTTTCTGCTGTGCTGTAATCCGACCTGAGAGAGGCAGGCCAGAGGTGTGATTTCAGACTGGCCCGGGTGTGGGTCCTTTGTAATGGGCGACCCGTTTTTACACATTATTGCCAAGAGCATGTCCCCGGGATTGACCAGCGAATTTCTGCTTTGACTGCAGAGGCCCAGTCTGGTCCGCGTGGTGGAGTGGATCGACTTTGAGACCCTGGCGCTGCTCTTCGGCATGGTAATCACAGCTCTTCCGGGGGGGGCATGGCTTCGCGGCGGCTGCGACCTGGGGCCTTGGCTCTTCCCGCTGTGGTTGCTAATCCTTCGTTATATTAAAGGCGCCAAGCAGCTGGGCAGTTGGGCTTGATTGAAGAGTGTTCGTGCAGGTCTAGCTAATTTCTTCTGAGGAGGCACTGAACGTTCGGTGTCCTGATTAGTCTGATTGTGGAATAATGTCACCATGTAGCAAATTCAGCAAATTCTTTGAGTTCCTACCCTTAAAATATAAAAATGGAATATCCCAAATGAATAAACCATGTAAGTTTCGACAATTGGAAAAGTGCCTGTAATTTTTTGGCAATAGGGAGAAATCTCCCTAAGTAATTGTTTGTGTGTTTGCTGGTTTAGCAGACACTGTGTGCTGAGCTCCATAAAGTGTCACCAAGTCGACTGTAGGAAAGGAACTTCGAGGTGCACAGAGGTGGGTTTGTGTGGGACGTGAACAGGGGTCATAAACCGATTTACTAGAATGAATGAGATTTTTAAAGAAGATTTTATTATTTCGTTTTAGAGGGAGGGGAAGGGAGGGAGAAAGAGAGAGAGAAACATCAATGTGTGGTTGCCTCTCACATATCCGTACTGGGGACCTGGCCCGAAACCCAGGCATGTGCCTGGACTGGGAATTGACCCAGTGACCCTTTGGTTCTCAGCCCTCGCTCAGTCTACTGAGCTACTCCAGCCAGGGCTAAATGGGATTTTTAAATCCTCACCTGAGGGCATGTTTATTGATTTTAGAGAGAAGGGAAGCAGGGAGGGAGGGAAGGAGAGAGAGACATCGATTGCTTGCTTCCTGTATGTGCCCTGACTGGGGACCGAACTCGCAACCCTGGCATGTGCCCTGACTGGGAATCTAACCTGCGACCTTTTGGTTACTGGATGATGCTCCAACCAACTGAGCCACACCAGGCAGGGCTAGGGTTAAAATTGGGTTTAGCGTTAAGGTTAGCTGTAGGATTAGATTTAGGTTTAGAGTTGGTTAGGATTGAGTTTATGATTAAGGTGGGGTTAGGGTTAGGGGCAGAAGTAACTTTGAGGTCCAGGTTTGTATTTAGGGTCATGATTAAATTTAGAAATAGGATTAGGATTAAGCCTAGATGGATTAGATTTGGTGTTAGGGTAAAGGTTAAGGTTAATGTTGAATTTACAGTTAGGTCTTGGGTTAGGGTTAGGTTTAGAGTTAGTTTTGAATCAGGATTTAGGAAAAATTAGGTTAGAATTAGGGTTAAGGCATTGCTGACTGAGGAAGTAGAATAGAGAATCTTCCAGAAAGTTCAGTTGAAATGTCCAGTTGATTCGGTTTAGGATAAATGGGACAGAACTTTTGACTAATGACTTCCTGTCATTATCAAGGATGGTTATTCTCACCAACTCAGTGTCACCCATAGACAGAAGCGCCATTGAATAGAGATTCACGCAGAACTCAGAGAACAACCGTCAGTGCCGTTGCCCTTACTTGCATGTCTTGATAAAACTGGAGACAAAAATCTCTAATTTCAAGAGATTAGAAAAATGTAACTGAGTTAAATGTAACAAAATTTAACTCAGTTAAAAAAAATCTTAGAACGTTTAATGGTCAGGTGTGGACATGGAGGTGCAGAAGGCCACCTTTTGGCCCACTTTCTTCCCAGCTGCTGCTTTGGTGACCGTGAGTCGCCCCCGCCCCACCCCCGTCCCTGCCCCCCACATTCCTAGGCTGTAGAAGATAATAACGTGGGAGGTTTGCTGCTTAGCGGGAAGGATAACGCAGCTTGGGCATACGCCCTGGACGGATGAGCGGCACGCCCTCCAGCAGGGGGCTCCTTGCCGGGGCCTGGGAGTGGAGCCCACCCAGCACAGGGCGGAGCTTGCATGATCGCGTGTGTCCTCACGGAGGCCACTACCACGCTGACGCTGCAGGACGGCGGCGCGGAAGCCTTCTCCCTGTCTCCTTCTCTCTTCTTCCTGCAGATGATCTTAGTGGCCGTGTTTTCCGAAACGGGATTTTTCGATTATTGCGCTGTAAAGGTAGGTTTGATGTGGCATTTCATAGTGCTAGAGGAATTAATCCATTTGTTTATTTTTCTGCTGCTGCGTTATTTAGCAAGGAAAACTACTATTTAAAGCAAATATTTTCATTTAATATTTTTAAAAGATTTCCTTTGTTTACTTTTAGAGAGAGGGGAAGGGAGGGAGAAAGAGAGGGAGAGAAACATCAATGTGAGAGAGATATCAGTTGCCTCTCACAACTGAGGACCTGGCCCGCAACCCAGGCATGTGCCCTGACTGGGAATCGAACTGGCGACCTTTCAGTTCATAGGCCGGTGCTCAGTCTGCTGAGACACTCCAGCCAGGACTAAAGCAGATATTTTAAAATTCCACCCAGCTTTAGAAATCACGCACTTCTGCCAGGCTGAGTGTGGCCCTGTGCTGGGTTAGGTGGCCCCCGGCAACACCTGCAGTTTCTCCGGAGCAGGTGAAGGACGTGTGGAGATGAAGAGCACTTGAGTTGTATGTTTGTGGACAGTATTTAAAGGCTCAGGTGGAGAGCTTCCCATCAAAATCCGTTTTGCATTTCCAAGCATCTAACCATTTCAAGTCATCTACTTCTGCTTTCCTTGTTTTGGGGTGAAATAATTTCAGTGACCACTTTCTGAACACTTGAATATCTAAACATTCCCATTTATAACCAGAACCGCAGGGAATCCAGCCGGAAGTTCAGGCCCCTGGAATCTGTACGGCTCCTGTCCCTGGCGGGGTGGGGGCGTCTCCCCTGCCCTCTGAAACAAAAGCCAATGCTTGGTTGTAGTTTTTAGAACTGAAAATGTCTTTACAAAATGTACCCAACAAAGCCCTTTGCAAATTTTGAATGACAGAACCGTGCTGTGATTTTTTTAGAAAGATTTTATTTATTTTTTAGAGAGAAGGGAAGGGAGGGAGGAAGAGAGGGAGAGAAATACCGATGTGAGAGAGAAACATCGATTGGCTGCCTCTTGCATGCGCCCCAGCCAGGGACTAAGCCCTCAACCCAGGCCTGTGGCCAGACCGGGAATCGAACCGGGAACCTTTCAGTTTGCAGGATGACACCCAACCCATGGAGCCACACCGGCCAGGGCATGTGCTATGATTCTTGACCGCTTTTTTCACCATCTTGCACCTTCTGCAGAGATATCTGGCCTGTTCTTCCCAGTACCTTGGTACTAACAGTAGCTCTAGGTCCCCAAGAGTCATGTGGGCCCCAAGGTCACAGCCTAGGCAGATTTGGGAATCTGTGGGTCTAAGTTTTGACCCACCCTGCAGTGTGCCCTTGAGCCCCTGGTTCTCAGAAACCCTAGTGACAGTCCTGTCTGTCCTTCCTCCCCGTGCCGTGTGCCCCAGGCCTACCGACTGTCCCGGGGACGAGTGTGGCCCATGATCTTCATGCTGTGCCTCATCGCCGCCATCCTGTCCGCCTTCCTGGACAACGTCACCACCATGCTCCTCTTCACTCCGGTGACCATAAGGTAGGCGGAGCAGCCCTCGGGGGCATGGGGCGGGCGAGCAGCGTCGCCCTCAAGTGTCTGAAGACACAGGCCTCGCTCCCCTGCGGGGACACACTGCCTGGGGCCAGGCACACTCATTTCTGGTGCCTGTGGCACCAGTCACAGGCATGGCGGGGCAGCGGGACAGCCCCACCCACCCGGGCTGGTCCTGGGTAGGCAGAGGGGACATGGGTACTCCTGGGGCCCAGGGGGCAAGCTAGGTAGTGAGGGGCTTTGGGCGAGTCACTTCATATGCCTGGTCTGGGTTGCACCATGAAAGGCATTTACACACGCTAGGGTTGTGCGGCTTCTGCCAGACAAGGGACTCTCCTGGACGTGAGGCATGAGGCAGCAAGTTCAAAGTCACCCCCCGGGAATACTGCTGGGGCTTGGGCCTGATTCTGGGCCAGGATGCCTTTGGTGTTTGAAGAGTGGTGATGCTGAGAAGAAGAGAGAGTGGGCTGTGGGGCAGGGGGAGGAGGGGGGGGAGGAGCAGAGGGCAGACAGCGCCCCCTCGTGGACATGGTATGTAGCGTCCAGTCTCTTGCCCAAGGTCCTGCAGGCTTGGCTGCATTGTCCCGCCTGCTGGAAGGCAGAGGTCTGGGAGGAGCTATGCAGCCCTCGCCTTGCTGGGCAGGGGTCTGGCACCCCCAGAGCCCAGGCCTTTCAGGGAGCAAACGAGGGGTGGAGTGAGCATGTTTCGAGGGTGCTGTAAATGTGAACGCGTGCTCCTTAACAGCACGCACCACCCTGTCCCCAGGCCACATCCCTACTCATCTGAGACACTGGTTTGACAGCCATGGTGCCCCACCCCACCATGGGCCACATCCCAGCATGTGGTTATGCTCTCTGACGTTGGCCAGGCAGGTTCCAGGGGCCACTGTGTCCACGGTGTCCCTGTGCAGCCAGGACACCCAAGGCATCTCCACCTTGCCAGGGTTGGTCGTATGCTCCCTGCTCTCGGAACGGGCTTGTCACTTTGCATGAGAGTAGTGGTTCCAGTGACTCGTCTAAAAATGCGTCTTTCAAGATTCAAGGGTCAGTCAGTGTGCCAGGTTCACTATTTACATCACTACATTTTTATGACTTTATAAGCTTAGTCCCATTCCTCTGCCCTTGCCTGGACCCAGTCCTGCGAAACAGCCAACGTAGATGGGAAGCCGGTGTCGTTGATGAGCACATGCTGTTTCCTTCTGGGAGTAGATCCTGGGAGCTCCTTCAGCTGGGAGCTGCTGCCCGCTGGGGTCAGATGCACAGATGCCCAGATGCCCCACCCCGGACCCCGAGGGTGGCCAGCGCTCATTCCCCTGCCCCAGAACCTGCCGTCCACTGGGGCCTGCCACAGGGGACTGTGTTTCCTCCAGGCCTGTAGGGGGCAGTATACATTTCCACACTGAGGCCTAGAGGGGTGATGGGCTTTTGGAGAAATGAGATCCTGAGAGCTGCTGCTGCCTGTAGCTCTCTCTGTAGCCTCATCATTGCTCACACTCAGTTCTGCCCTTCTTATAGGTGTGCACACGCACGCTCACGCGCCTCCCTTGTGCAAGCAAGTGCTTTAACGATAACTTACATTGCCCACGGACCTTTTACAATGTGAACAGTAGGCCTGCTTTGGATTTCTCTGTGACAGATTATGTGAGGCGCTCAACCTTGACCCGAGACAAGTCCTGATTGCAGAGGTGATCTTCACGAACATCGGAGGAGCCGCCACCGCCATCGGGGACCCACCAAACGTCATCATCGTTTCCAACCAGGAGCTGAGGAAGATGGTGCGTACCAGTGGGACGGGGCTGCTTCCAGGGCCTACAGACCCAACGTCCTGCCCACTTAGCTTCCTCCTCGCGTGGGTGGCTTTGTTGGAAGTCATCCTGTGTCACTTCTTCTCACGAGGTGCTGCTGGTTATCCTGAGAGGAGGAGGTTAGCTGGCTGATTTTCCAATGTGGAGTTAAGTGGTCTGAGTTTCCTTCTCATTCTGATACATTTTTTTAAAAGATTTCATTGATTTATTTTGAGAGGGAGGGGAAGGGAAGCAGAAACAGAAGGGGAGAAACATCAACGTGTAGTTGCCTCTCAAGCGCCCCCTACTGGGGGCCTGGCCTGCAACCCAGGCATGTGCCCCGACTGGGAATTCAACCCGTGACCCTTTGGTTCACAGGCCCTGTGCTCAACCCAGTGAGCCACACCAGCCAGGAAAACTTTAACATTTTTAATAGGAAACATAAGTTGCAGTAAGACAGGTGTACAAGTAGTTCAACTGAGAGTATGACCAGTGAAACCCCGTGTGACTGTCAATGTCTGTTGTCTCTCTTTTTTTAGCCTTTTACGACAACATATTAATGAATGCTACATCAGGTGACTCGCCCCTGGTGGCATCACATGAGTGCTCACGTAAAAATCCCAGGCGTGATGTCTTTCTCGGGCAAAGTTCAGTTAGTTCGGTATCATTTCAAGCCCACCCTTGGAGTTCTGGGCCTGGGTGTCCCGGACTGAACAGTGGGATGGGCCCCGGGTCCTGGGTTTCTGCTAAGTCACCTGGGAAGCTGAGTAGCCTGCCCGACCGTTCCCACATCCTCCATGGCAAGCTGACATGCTGCAGCACATTCCCAGACTTTAGATCTGGCAGTGAGGGGGAAAAAAAGGCGAGGTTTTGGCAAAAAATACACAGAGGGCCCTGGACAGGTTCACCCATCAAGCCTCACTGAGGCTCAGCTTAGCCTGTTCAAACACATTCGTGACAAAGTGACTTCCTCTAGGAACATGGCCTTGATTTACTGAAGACAGCATTCCTTGTTTTCCGGTTAATGAGTTTCCCGGAGTTTTGGATTAAACATACCTCACAGGAAATGTATCCGATGAATGGCCTGCTGTGGAGAATCAGAGTGGTTTTAATTCATTTTATCGCAGGTCAGAGATCAAGGAGGACTTACTGGGTCGGGGACACAAACGAACTCGTAGTTCCAGTGGCGGTGTCCTCAGCAGAGGTTAATTTATAATATCTCATCGTCAGTGATGGCAGAGTACCACATGTGTGTACCACATGACGGGCACGCTCACTGTCACTCTGCACTGAAATGGAAACAGAGTCTAAAATAAACATCAATTTTAAAATGAATGTTTCAAATATTCCCCAAGAAAATTCATACTGTCACCCGATGGTCACTGGCTCCGATTTGGAGTGCGGTACTTCATTCAGAGCACAACAGCCAAAAGGCCCCCTCCCCAGTCCGCCCTGCTCTGCCCCAGTCAGGTCTGCTTCACTCTGCTGGGCTCCACGCGGCTTCTCTGCTCCACAGAGAAGTTACGGGAGGGTGTCAGGAGACTTCTCGCAACTCTCACCCTTTCCACACCCTGCTCAGTCTGCCCTGGTCACTGGTGGCGGAATTTCCAGCACTGAACAGGTAGCAGGGGAGACTTCCGGGGCCACCACGTGGCCTGTCCTGAACTCCTCCCTGCCACCCACCCCGCCAGCCCGGGCAGAGTCTGCAGAACTGTCTGATTCCACAGCAACAGCGCAGGGCTTGTCCCCCTGCTCCCACGCAATAGCCCGCTGCGGCAGTAATTCTCTTCTGCTGGTTACCTTTGCTCCTTTGCACCTGTTCCAGGGTGACCCAGTGGCCACGCCACTATTGAACTCACCCAAAAAGCCTATTTAGAGGAGCCGTGCCCCCTGTGCTTTTGAGAGGCTTTTCTCAAGTCAGAGGAAGGCTTTGTCCAGAGTGCCCTGGAGGTGCACGCCCAGGGACGTTCTTCTGGCCTTTCCATTCATGCCCCGTGCGCTGCGCATGCTGGGATGTCCTTCTGTCCCCTGTGCCGTGGTCTCCTCTGCTTCATCTGCCAATATCTTGGTGGCGTCTCTCTCTCTTTGCTATTTCCTGCTCTGCCTCTCTGGTCACATTCTGTCAGTCTCCTTTGCGGGTTTTCTGCTTCCACACCCCTCCCCAACATCCCTGGGCCTTGGGGTTCTGCTTTTGCGACCTTTTCCCTCTGGGTCAGCATTCTCTAGCGGAGCTCCTACACTGCAGTGGCCAGTGTGCTGGGATTATGCGCCCATGACTCTGCCAGAGGCTCTTAGCGCCCGCAGGCCCACGTGCCCGCTCCCCGACATACTCAGCGGGTCCCAGGGTGCCCTGCACCGGCTCTGTCCTGGCTAATATCACACTCTCCTGCAGCACTCGGTCCTCTCCTTGCTGGGTCTCCAGACAGGACTCTGTCTTCTGATTGCACCGCAATACACATATGGCAGATTCAGCTAAGCACTGCGTTCATGAGAATTTCTTTATGTTTCTCAGAGGAATTCAGGAAACAGTTTCGGCTGGAGCCACACTGGCTGCAACCCAGTTGGTTTGTCTCAAAGCTGGTCTGAATGCCGTCTCCCTGGGAAATGATACTGGTGGGCCAGGGGGTCCCTAGCTGGCACACATATATATTTAAATGAGGCTGCGGATGTTCTAATCTGATTCTGGGGATTCTGTTTGGCTGCTTTACTGCCTCAGCATTTGAGCACGTACATGACCAAAGAGGACATTCTGGAAAATTAAGAAGGAAGCAGCTCAGTGGCGCCCAAACCCAAAGGGTATGAAACAAAAGCTTAGAGGGGATTAAAACAGAGCCAGTGCCTTGCAGGAGGCAGCTGCATGCAAGCACCGTGTTGATGTAGGTGCAATAGTGAGTGGTTTTTGTCCCCGAGAACGTTAAGGAGGGGAGTCTAGGGAATTATAGAGGCTCATGAAGGCAGCAGAAAGGCAGAGATACACGCACAGTGAAAGCATTTGCATTTCATTGTACCTTGCGTCTCCCTGTATTGCTTCTCAAAATTTTCAGGTTGGGCCCTGGCTGGTGTAGCTCAGTGGACTGAGTGCGGGCCTGTGAACCTAAGGTTCGCTGGTTCCATTCCCAGTCAGGGCACGTGCCTGGGTTGTGGGCCAGGTCCCCAGGAGGGGGTGTGAGAGAGGCAACCACACTGATGTTTCCTTCCTCCTCTTTCTCCTTCCCTTCCCCTCTCTCTAAAAACAGATAAATAAAAATCTTTAAAATTTTTTCAGGTGGGATTTTTTTCTTCCCGCATTGTTCTTTCTTGATAAATCTACCCATATAACTTGAGTAGCAACCAACTATTTGTAGTAAATGCTGGAATACTGTTAGTCCTCCTTTTCCTTCTTTCCTCCCTCCCCACCCTTCCCTTCTTCCCTTCCTTTCTTTCTCATCTTCCACGGATATGTTTATTGATTTCAGAGAGAGACATGGAGGGAGAGAGAGAGAAAGAGAGACATCAATGTGAGAGAAACACTGATCAGTTGCCTCTCATGCTCTGACTGGGATCGAACCCACAGCCTTTTGGTGCACAGGATGATGCTCCAACCGACTGAGCCACCTGGCCAGGCGGTCCTTCCCTTTAATCTACTCCTCACTTGTTTTCCAATTGTTCCATCATTTCTAAGGGGACAAAATTTATAGTTCTTATGTTCCAGAGATACCCAGGATGCTCAGGGCACCAGCACCACTGTGTTGGTGGGGTCCTTTCTCCCCAAAATGTTAATTTGATTTCACGAATAATTTGGTATAAAGGCAAATACACTGAGTATATTTTAAGTCATTTTTGGATTTAGAAGTTCTTTCTTATTGTTTTTTTTTTCTGATTTTAGAGGAAATTAAAATATTTCCAGTGGCCCCTGAAAGTATCATGGGCTTTCTTTTTATAACCAGATATTTGGAGCGTGATTTCTATAGAAAAACAAAGTGTAAGGTAACATCCTAATTGAGGCGCTACCCTGGCCGCTGGCTCAGTTGGTTGGAGCCTTGTCCTGAACGTCACAAGGTTGGGGGTTCGATCCCTGCTTGGGTTGTGTATGGGAGACCATGGATCAGTTTTTCTCTCTCACGTTGATGTTTCTTTCTCTCCCTCTAAGATCAATAAACATTTTAAAAATTAAAAAAGAACTACCAGAAAAGTGGTGAATTCTTTTATGACCATTAAAAATATCCCACCAATCCCAGCTCTTTGTAGGCTCTTCTGCCGTCTATACCAGATGAGCTCATATAGCGCCATCTGTCACTGCAATGCCATTTGTTAGGGGAAGCCCCCGGATATGCAGGGAAGAGCAGGAGACTAAGATTTCAGGTTATTATACACAGGCAAAGCCTAATCTTTGACGCCACTGTATTGGTAGTGAGGGCGGTGCGGGGGCTGTACCTGTGGGAGGACCGTCACTTAATGTCCCCTTTGCCGTTTCCAGGGTGTGGACTTCGCGGGATTCACAGCACACATGTTCGTTGGGATCTGCTTTGTTCTCTTGTTCTCCTTCCCACTCCTCAGGCTCCTGTTCTGGAAGAAAAAGCTGTACAACAAGGAACCCAGTGAGATCGTTGGTGAGTGGAAGTGCCTCGCCCTGCAGATCCAGAGGATGCCTCCATGATGTTATTTTTTTCCCAGGGGAAGTTTCCAGAGAAAGGCAGGAGGTTCATCATGTGTGGGACATCGGGGAAGTGTCCGTCCCTGGGGTGCTGTGCACTCAGTAGGTCCTCATCTGCCTCCTGGTCCCCAGTGTGTTTTCAGGGGCTTTAAATCCAGGAGCTCTGCCTCTTTAGTTTTTTAAAAATTAAACTCGTTCAAGTAACATTGGTGAATGCTACATAATTTTAAGGTGTCCAGCATTATCATTTGACATCTCTGCATGCTATGGCGTGTGCAGCACCTGAAGTGGTTTCCTTCTGTTACCGTATATTTGGCCCCTTTCCCCACTTTGCCCCCCTCACCTCCTGTGTTCTGGTAACCACCATACTGTTGTCTGTATTTTGAGTTTGTGTTTGTTTGTGTTGTTAGTTCGTTTGCTACTTTTTGTTTTCTATCCCTCAAGTGAGTGACATCGTATGGTTTTTCTTTTTTCCTCACTGACTTACTTCAAATAGCATCCTACTCTCAAGACCCATCCATGTTGTCACAAATGGCAGTAGTTCATTTCTTTTATGGCTCAGTAGTGTTCCACTGTGATATGTGTGTGTTGTATCTTTTTTACCAATCATTTGCAGTGGACACTTAGGTTGTTTCCATATCTTGCTTATTGTAAATAATGCTGCAGTGAACCTAGGGGTGCATATATTTTACTTTTTCATTTAAGTACCCGTAGGTGGAATTGCTATATTTTATGGTAGCTCTAGTCTTAATTTTTTCAGGATATGCTCTTTTCCATGGTGGGTGCAGCAGTTTGCAATCCCACCAACAGTGCACGTGGGTGCCCCCTTTTCCACCTCCTCGCCAGCACTTGCTATTACTTGTCTTGTTGGTGATGGCCATTCTAACAGGTGTGAGGTGGTTTTGATTTTCATTTCCTTGATTAGGGATGTTGAGAATCTTTTCATATATCTGTTGGCCCTCTGTAAGTCTTTCTTGGAAAAGTGTCTGTTCAGGTCCTTTGTCGATTTTTAAATTGGGTTGTTTGTTTGTTGTTGTTGAGTTTTTTATATATTTTAGATATCAACCCCTGATTGGAAGTGTCATTTGCGAATATCATTTCCCATTTGCATTGCCTTTTTGTTTTGCCGATGGTTTCTTTTGCTGTGCAGAAGTCTCTTAGTTGATGTAGTTCCACTCATTTATTTTTACTTTGTTTCCCTTGCCTTTGGAGTTAAGTTCACATAACACCTCTGAGACCAATGTGCATAAGCTTAGGGCCCATGTTTTCTTCTATCATTTTATTGTTTTAGGTTTGACACTGAAGACTTCAATTCACTTTGAGTTAATTGTTGTGTATGATGTAAGATATAGTCTAGTTTCCTATTTCATGTGGCACTCCAGTTTTCCCACCACCTTTTACAGAAGAGACTTTTCTTTCTCTGTTGTATATTCTGGGCTGCTTTGCTGAAAATTAGTTGCCCATGGATGAGTGGGTTTATTTCTGGGCTTTCACTTTGGTTCCATTGATCTATGTGTCTGTTTGCTCCCAAGACCCTACTGTTTTGATTACTATAGCTTTGTTCTATAGTTTGAAGTTGTGGAGTGAGATACCTTTGCTTTGCTCTTCTCATGATTGCTTTGGCTATTTGGGGTCTTTTGTGGTTCCATACAGATTTAAGAAATTTTTGTTTTATTTCTTTCATGATTCCGTTGTGGTTTTTAAAAAAAAAACGTTATTTTTTTTAAAGGTTTTATTTGTTTATTTTTAGAGTGAGGGGAATGGAGGGAGAAAGAAAGGGAGAGAGGCATCAATGTGTGGTTACCTCTCATATGTCCCCTACTGGGGGCCTGGCCCACAACCCAGGGACGTGTCCTGACTGGGAATTGAACTGACAACCCTTGGGTCTGCAGGCTTGTGCTCAATCCACTGAGCTACACTAGCCAGGGCAGTGTCTATTGTAGTTTTAAAAGTCAGCTTCATCTCCGGGTTCCATTACAATAGCTCACATGGGAACAATCCACTGCTTTGGTTTGGCCCACTATTGGTGCCTCCTTGGGGGGGGGTATGTTTCTTGCCCTTGGAAGATGGGGAGGGAAGCCCGGGGCCTGTTGACCTCTGAGGCTGCAGGAGACTCAGCCTGGCTTTTGTCTGCTGCAGAGCTGAAGCATGAAATCCACGTGTGGCGCCTGACCGCACAGCGCATCAGCCCGGCCAGCCGCGAGGAGACGGCCGTGCAGGGCCTGCTTTTGAGGAAGGTGCAGGCGCTGGAGCAGTTGCTGGCCCGGAGGCTGCACAGCTTCCACAGGTACCAGGCGGGGGCTTCGCTCGGGCCGCCCTCGGCTCACACATCGGTTGTCCTCGATGACAGGACGGCATCAGTCACGTGTCTGCCACCACCCTACTCATGCCCAAGTGTCACACAATATACAAAACTAGTGAGTTACAAGCTGACTGTGCGCAACTACAAAATAGTAACAGAACTGTGTGCTAATGAGTAAGTTTAGGGCACCATGCGCTGTGCTGAGCCCCCCGTGGTGTGTTAGTTTATATAACCCTCTCCCAGCTCTGCAGAGCTCTGGTTAAGGACAAGAAGATTGAGGCTCAGAGAGGTTGAGGGAGTTGCCCAGGGCGACAGAGTGAGGAAAGCACACACTGGGGATGAAGTGACACTCTCAGCCATGCCTGTCTCACTGCCACGTGTCACACTCATAGCATAGCAAGAATTAAAAATAATTCATGTAACAAACTAATGTAACAAAATATAATTCCTGTAGTTGATTTTTGGGGAGCTCAAAGAATGTCTGACCATAGGCAGTTGATTTTAAAAAGAAAATTTAAAAGATTTTATTTATCTATTTTTAGAGATGGGAAAGGAGAGAGAAAAAGAGAGAAACATCAATGTGTGGTTGCCTCTTGTGCGCCCCCTGCTGGGGACCTGGCCTGCAACCCAGGCATGTGGCCTGACTGGGAATCAAACCGGCGACCCTTTGATTTGCAGGCTTGCACTCAATCCACTGGGCCACACCCGCCAGGGCCTCAGTTCATTTTTTTAAATGCTCACCTGTGAGGATATATTTTTTAAATTGAGTTTAGAGAGAGGAAAGTGGCGAGAGGAGAAAGAGAGAGAGAAACATCGATGTAAGAGAGAAACATTGGTTGCTTGCTGCTCACATGCGTACTGACTGGGGATCGAACCCCCAACCGTGCTACACCTGCCAGGGCAAAAGTGCCATTTCCTTTACCTCATAAAAGTAGAGAGTAAGCAGAGAAAAACAAGGGCGGCTTAGCGTCGTCAGTCCTTGTTCGCATTTCGGCCAGCATTCTCACGTGCTCTAGGCTCGCACTCACACACGTTCCATGAGACAGGCCCATCACCTCCTGTGCTGTGTTTCCTTGGAAACACAGAGCGAGCATCGTGCGCAGTCCATCAACCCAGCTCCGTCGGCCAGTTTCCACGTGCCTCATGCATGGCCCCGCCAGGTGGCCCAGTGGGCGGCCTCCAGTGCACCTGGAGCTGCTGGCCATGCCCTGCTGGTGTCACTGCTCAGTGTCACCAGGACGATAATGAGTTTCCTTGTTCTGTTTCAGACAAATCTCACAGGAAGATAAGAATTGGGAGACCAATATCCAGGAGCTACAAAAAAAGGTAGTGTGGTTTCTTTGCTCGGGGATGCTTTTTTTCTTTTTTAAAAAAGATTTTATTTATTTTTAGACAGAGAGGAAGGGAGGGAGAGAGAGAGAGAGAGAAACATCAATGTGTGGTTGCCTCCCACACGCCCCCTAGTGGGGACCTGGCCCACAACCCAGGCATGTGCCTTGAGTGGGAATCGAACTGGCGACCCTTTGGTTTGTAGGCTGGTGCTCAATCCACCAGCCATACTCATCAGGGCAATTTCTTTCTTTTTTTCTTTATTTTCCATTGTTAACACTATTGCAGATGTCCCCCTTCTCTCCTTTGCTCCCCTCCTTCCAAACCCCGCTGCCCCTTCCCCCGGCCCTCACCACACTGTTGCATAAATGTTCTGTGGCTAACCCTTCCTCTTCTTTCATCCAGCCCCCTTCCCCTCCCCTCTGACAGCTGTCAGTCTGTTCCATGTGTCCGTGCCTCTGGTTCTATTTCATTCATCAGTTTATTTTGTTCACTAGATTCCACGTGAGTGAGATTGTGTGGTATCTGCCTTTCTCTGACTGGCTTATTTCACTTAGCGCAATACTTCTCAGGTCCATCCACGCCGTTGTGAAGGGTAAGAGTTTCCTCTGTCACAGCCGAGGATTCTTCCATTAGGTGACTCACTGCGTAAAGAGGGTCAGGCCCTTTCTTTGCTGCATGTGAAATTATAATGGAAAATCATCTCTCTTTTTACTCTTGTAATTGTACACAAGACATAAGCTATTTCCAGGAGTTGATGGGAGATATATTTTCCGAATGTGGCAGGTTTATCTTCCCCCCCAAGCCACAGGGTAAACTTTACCTTCCCTGGGAGGTGCTGTGGCTCTTTCTCTGGCTGAGGAGGTTTCGGGGAAGGCTGGCCAGCACCTGGCTCTCTGAGTCTCAAAGATGGGGGCTCCCAGCGTGTGAGTGAGGAGGTGGGGGCCGAGGAAGGCCTCAGGGATGGCAGGGGCATGAGCGTGTTCCGTCCTGTGGCTCTGAGCGCTGGAGGCAAAGCTCATTTGGGTATTTTTGCTCCACTTCCAGCCTCGGTGGACTTTCCCAGGCCACCCAAGGACAGACGATGCCCCATCCCAGCCGGCCGAGGCCCATTCGGCATCTGCTGGGACTCATGGGTAGTTTTATGACATTTTAAATCATGCAGTTTCTTTCCTGGGGAGAGATCAAACGCCCACTCATTAAAGATGATGGGAATGTTTTGTGCTTGGCCGATCGAGATGCGGGTGTCGGGGTTCTGTTGGTGGTGCGTTCTTTGGGGCCTTGGGGCTTGTGGTCCCTCTTCCCAGCTCTGTCCCATTCAGATGGACGGGGTTAGGGAAGAAGGAGGGGCTGTGACGCTTTTCTTGGCTTCAGGTTTGTCCAGGCGCCGCCCGGCCCGACAGCCGGTGTGGCTGAGCCTGTAGGTTGGGGAGGAGACCGGGTCCTCTCTGTGCCTGGTGGCCAAGGACCAGGGAGAGGTGGGAGGGAGAACAAGGGTCCGGGCCCTGACTTCCCGGCCAGAAAACAACCAGAGGAGCACTGGGCAGACACCGGAAATAGCAGACCAGCCCGGGCTGTGCAGGACTGTTTCGGCTCCGCCCACACCCCTCCCAGTCCTGTCGGGGGGCTCAGGCCCGCCCCCTGCAGGTGGTGCCGCTGCAGGGCAGGTGGTGCCGCTGCAGGGCAGGCGCCGCGCCTCCCCTCGCGCCTGGCCAGGGGCCTTCCTCTTGCCTCCTGGGTCACCACCACGGACAGACTCCTTGGAGGTGGGGTGGGCGGTGGGGCAGGGTGGTGGCTGGACCATGAGCTGAGGCAGATGCCAGGGAAGGAGGGCGGAGGACCAGGCGGTGACCCCACCGCCTCTGAGCAGAGGGTCGGGGCCCAGCCAGAGCCTCTGCCATATGGCTGGATTTGCTTGTGTTGTTTTTTTTTTAAATTTTTATTTATTTTAAAGAAAATTTTATGTATTTATTTTTAGAGAAATGGGAGGGGAGGGAGAAAGAGAGAGAGAGAAACATCAGTGTGTGGTTGCCTCTCACACAACCCCTACTGGGGACCTGGACACAACCCAGGCACATGCCCTGACTGGGAATCGAACCAGTGACCCTTTGGTCTGCAGGCAGGTGCTCAGTCCACTGAGCCACACCAGCCAGGGCTGTTTTTATTTTACATCCTCACTCGAGGATATAAGAGACAGAGAGACAGAGAGAGAGACAGAGGCACAGAGAGGAACAGACAGAGAAAGAAACAGCAATCAGTGGCCTCCTGTACGCGCCCCAACTGGAGATGGAACCTGCAGCTTAGCTATGGGCCCTGCCTGGGAGTCGAACCCGTAACCTTTGGTGCACAGCATGATGCTCCAACCATCCGAGTCACCCGGCCAGGGCTGCTTGTGACTTTTATGCGGCAACTTGACCTGTGTGAGCAGAGAAGCCGAGAGAGAACATGAGCACCTGCATCCATCTCCATGTCTGTGCTCACACCTGTATGTACACACCTGTCCCTGTGCGCACACCCACAGCTAGATGTCCGTGTGTGTGCCTGGGGCAGGCAGACCGATGTGCCGTGGGAATAACCTCAGAAAGGACACAGCCGACCGTCAGTCGATGCCGTGGGGCACGATTCTCACAGAGGCCTGGTGGGGTGCGGCAGGGCCACTGCGGCCACCTGTGTGGCTCGGGGACCTCAGTCCCTGCCGCAGCCCCACACAGGCTTGGCGTCGGAGCGCAGCCCCCGTGGGGGACCTGGCCCCGTCTCGCTCCGTGGCCCAGGCCCAGCAGCCGCAGGTCCGCCCCTCGTGGGTTAATAAAGCTGCCACAGAGCAGAGAGCGCCTTCTGGCTCCTTCTCTTGTCCCCACACAACTGGGCCAGGCTCCCATGGGTGTCGTCCTGTCACGTAGAAGAGACCTGAATGCCTGCCAGGGTCCGCGTGAGTGTTGCATGAAAGGACCCGACAGGGAACTTCGCCAGGACTCAGGCCATTGAAGGAACAGGCGACCTCGGCACAGCTGTGAGCAAGGACGTGCGCGGAGGGAGGGAAATTGGCCCTGGGAGGCGACGAGCACACGGAGCCTGTGGAGATGAGCGTGTGTGTAAGGGCCAGGTCCCTGGGCCTCACGGCTCGTCTCCCCAGTGGGCTTGCCGGTGCCTCTCCTCCCTCCCACAGTGGGGCTGGGACCAGCATGACGCCCTCGTTGTCCTATTGAAAAGCCACTTAGCCAGGTGTCGATGGAAGGATCACACTGCGTTTTAAAGTTGCTGTGTTTTGGATTTTGAATGCTCTAACCGCAAATCTGTGTGGTTTTCCTCAGAGCACATTTCCTCCTTCTCTGCTTTCAAGTTCAAGACCTTTCTGTTCTCACCCTGCGGGGAACTTGGCAGTGACTCGGGCCACGTGGGACGATGGCCCTGTGGCAGGAGTCAGAACGGCCTTGCCCTTTCTCCCAGCACAGGATACTGGACGGGGTTCTTCTGGCCAAGTGCCTGGCGGTGCTGAGCGTCGTCATCCTCATGTTCTTCCTCAACTCTTTTGTCCCCCGAGTCCATCTTGACCTGGGTGAGTCTCATTGCTGTCGGTGGGTTTTGTTGCTACGTTTTGCACTTGACCTCACAGCCAGAAAAGGAGGTTTAAAGCTGGTTCTCAGACCCCAGTGATGTGGCAGAGCCAGTGAGGGCAGAGGTGGAGGGTGTAGAGGGTGGCCAGCCTTCCAGGGGATGGGAAAAGTCTTTCTCTCCCTCTCTTTCTCTCTCCCTTGCCCTCTGTCTAAAAATTAAAAAAAAATTTTTTTTTAAGAAATATTCTATTTATTTATTTAGAGAAAGGGGAAGGGAGGTAGAGAGGGAGAGGAACATCAATGTGTGGTTGCCTCTCACACGCCTCCAACTGGGGATCTGGCCCGCAATCCAGGCGTGTACCCTGACTGGGAATCAAACTGCCACCCCTTGGTTCTTAGGCCGGTGCTCAACGCACTGTGCCACAGCCTGGGTGGTAACACATCTTTATACTGTTCCCAGAGAAGCATCTCCCGCCCCCCTGGAAAAGACAGGAAGTCACCGTGGCAGGGCCAGAGTTTCCCCAGCACCCCCCCTCCCCCGCCATCCATCTCAGATCGTGCCTCCTTTCCTGTCCTCAGGGCCATCTGCCCCAGGAGGTTTCTCTCATTTTCCCCTTTGACACTATCACTTCCCATTGTCCGAACGGTAGGTCAGGGTCCAGGGCCCAGGGCTCGTCCTCACCTGAGACACAGTTGCCAGAAGATGGCGCTGTGATACCTCGTGAACCTGGCAGCCTCCCACGTTAAGGGTTAAGGGAACGTGTTGCATTTTCCTGAGGTTTTTCTGATTGACTTCATAGGTATCTCCATGAGTGTCATTATTAGTATTTTGAATTTTTAAAAAATCTTATCCTCACCCAAGGACATGCTTATTGGTTTTAGAGAGAGGGAAAGTGAGGAATAAGGAGGGAGACAAATATCGAGGTGAGAGAGAAATATCCACTGGTTGCCTCTTGCACACGCCCCTTTGTCCAGGAACCAAGCCCGCAACCCAGGCTTGTGCCCTGACTGAGGATGAAACCCTCGACCTTCTGGTTTATGGGACAACGCTCCACCCCGCGGAGTCACACCAGCCAGGGGTCTTGGGAGGTCGCCGGATAATTAACATAAAACACAACCGCTTCCAAAATCCACCCTCCATGAAGGGCAGATTTATAAGGAAGATAAATTTCAGGTGGTGGCAAGGTGTTTTTGCTGTAACCAAAGCTTGGCACATGGCTTGCTTTCAAAAGTGGGCTCTGCTATTTAAAAATCTTTTTATAACAACTTGATTTGCTGAAACATTTGATGGATATAACTTCTGTAGAAAGCAAACCCCTTTCACTTTGTCCACTAGACGGATAACATGGCCTGGCCTTACTTATTCACGGCACATCACGGCTTCTCGGGTCCCTGGCTCCTCTGGATTCATTAGAGCGTGACTCAGTTTCCCCCTTGCTCCTTTTCTAGCCTCGTATGTAGCACATGACACGCAGTCTTTTGCCTGCGTGGCCAGCTTTCTAATTTGCCGTCACAGCCTCTCAGGATTTATTGCCTTCAGGAATCTCACGTCCAATTTGCCAGGCGGCCGGCCCTTGGCTGTCAGGTGACAGGTGTTCTCTGTCCCCACCTGGGAGAAAACCCACGGGATCTTGGGGTAATAAGAAAGAATGCAGGCCCTGGCTGGTGTAGCTCAGTGGATCGAGTGCAGGCCTGAGAACCACACGCTTACGGTTCGATTCCCAGTCAGGGCACATGCCTGGGTTGCAGGCCAGTTCCCTGCAGGCCAGTTCCCAGCAGGGGACGCACGAAAGGCAACCATACATTGATGTTTCTCTCCCTCTCTCCTTCCCCCCTTCCCCTCTAAAGATAAATTAAAAAAAAAAAAAAAAGAAAGAATGCAAAGCTGGAGTCCTAAAAATGTCATGGATTTTATTTGTATTGGGTGGATTAAATCTACAAATTATGGGTGCCGCCTAATTATTTTTAATTTCACTGTAGACATAGTTTAACATTATAAACCTTTAGCGGCTATAGGAATGTTAGGTGGTAATTAAGCAAATATAATAAAATGGGCATTGGTGGGCAGAGGGCTTCCGAACAGATCATTCTGTGCAGTATTCACGGATTATTTTGTTTTTAATTTCATTTGAGTTCCACTTTTACGAACAGTAGCCTGCATTGGAAAAACCAAAAGATGTTTGGAAGTTTGCATGAGTTTTGTTAGCATTTGGCAGTGGTCTTTATATAAATAGCAATAATTTAAAAATCTTTTACTAATTGATTGACTGATGGAGAGAGCGAGAGAGAGATCGGTTACCTACTGTATATGCCCTGACCAGGGATTGAACCTGCAACCTTTTGGTGTATGGGACGACGCTGCAACCAACTGAGCATCCAGCCAGGGTGATATTTAGGGGTCTTCACCTCGCCACAGACCCAGGTAGCTCAGCTGTCACACACAGGTCCCCAGTCTTTCCCTGAAACCCTTGGTGCCAGATATGTTTCAAAATTTTGTTTGTATTCTACAAACACAATTCACTGCCCACACTGAACGGTGTGTAATGCAGGGGCACCCGCCGGAGGGGCCCAGGGCCTGTGATCCCCACGCTCGTGTTTCCATAGCAAAACGTGACGGTGGGTGTGAGGCGGGATAATGAAGACCACAAACGACCTCATTTCATTTCAAGTCAGGCTTTACTGACTTTTGACAGAAACTTATAAAAAAGGCGCTCTCCTGACCCAATTCTAATATTGCAGATTGCTGATTACGAGACTAGAGAGAGTATCTGTGAGCTGGCTGGAACGCGTTAACTTTGGCCTTAAGATTTATCCCCTTGATTAGCAATTTCCCAGGTCTCCTTGTTTTGATAATTAATTCAGGATATTCCCCCAGGCTCTCTCACAATGTGTTTGATTAGATTTCAGTTCTGGAGATTTTTCTGTGATTATATTTCCCTGATTATGGTTTCGAAATTGCGGGTGTCCCGCTGTCCAGTAATTTCACTGGAGGCTTTGTGAAGGTATTTTCAGCTACCTGATCAGCCTCAATCGAAATTGGATTGTCGGGATGATATCTTGCTAAGTGGCAGACGCCAGGCTGAGGGACCCTGGGGTGGCAGACTCAGGAGCGAAAGACTCCCTTTTTTAGGGGGCGGCCTCTCCCCAAACACTCTGTTCTCTTTTCCTAGCGCCTGGTCGGTTCTTTTTTGGTCTTTTGTCTGCTCATGGCAGTACCATAACAGTCTCATTTGTTTCCTGATTTATAGGATCTCATTTTCAGCCACACAGAGAGGAAAGGTTATTTTGTTTACTTTTAGAGAGAGGGGAAGGGAGAGAGAAAGAGAGGGTGAGAAACATCAATCAGCTGCCTCCCTCGAGCCCCCAACTGGACACCCACCCACAACCCAGGAAAGTACCCTGACTGGGAATTGAACTGGCAACCCTTTGGTTCACAGGCCAGTGTTCAGTCCACTGAGCCACACCAGCCAGGGTGAGAAAAGGCTGTTTTGAACTCCCAATTCCTTGGTGTCAAGTCTGATTGGCCCAAGTTGGGTTAGCTTCCTTTCCTAACCAGAAATTGTGACCAGCAGGATAGGGGCCACCTGGTCCAACGTGACTTAGAGTGGCTGGCAGTGTAGTGCTTAGAGAAAGGAGGTCATTGCAAGCTGGATAGACATCGCCCAAACTCCCTAATGTGTTTCCTAGGTCCACTAACTTCTAGTAACTAAATAACTTCAATTAACCTACTTATTTATTTATCTGGCTGTTCATTCACGAGCCACCATTGCCTGCTGGTCCAGAGACCCCGCCCTCATCAGTCCCCCATCTGAGGGGTCTGGGTCTGTGTGGACCCACAGGAGTTGCGGTGGAGGCTATTGAGCCAAGTAAGATGCTGAGCTTCAGAATGCTCACAGCCCAACTCAGAAGCCAGCCAGGGCGCAGAGTTATACAGCCTGGTGTGTGGCTTCCAGAAGCGAGGTGCAGATAAACTGGGATAGGTGTTCAAGGAAAACAGAGGTAGGTTAGGAGGGGAAAGGAAATGGAGGTGGAGGAGGAGGAAAGGAGAGGGAGGGGGAGGGGGAGGAGGAAGAAGAGGAGGGGGAAAGAAAAGGAGAAGAAGATGAAGAGGAAGAGGGGGAAGAGGAGGCTGAAGAGATCACATCCAGTTGAAGAGACGAGGAAACAGCTCTCGGCAGCATTTGACGTGGCTTGGACACCAGGGTGGTCGTTCAGCAGTGGCCGGCGAAATGAAAGGCTTCAGCCAGAAGGTGCAAGTTGAGCCGACACAAGGAAGCAAGTGACCCTTGTGGCATTCACTTCCTGCGAAAAAACGGCACCTCTTGTCCACAGTGGCCTATGGTGGGAGCCCGGCCACTGGACGGCGGTGCCCCACTAGACGGGCCAGCGGCAGCCTTGAGACTAAGCGCTCACACACTTAGCAGACCATGGGACGGGTCTGTCCCTTTATGGCTCAGAGCCCTTGGCTGTGTCAGCTTCTATTGCAGGTCGTCTGACCTTGAACGTAGACTGGTAACAGGAAACGTTACGTTACCGCAAGGACTGCTGTGTGGTAACCTACAACAGAGTTGTCATTCTGCAGGGGACAGCGTTCGGTCATGACTGGATTTAGGTGTTTGGTGGGACTGCTGTCCACAATTTCATTGCTGTCACTCCGACTTGGCCTTGGTGATCCCTCTGTCCTTATGTGCATTTGTCTCAAATGGCCTTTCCTTCCTCACCTGTGCAATTGTATTCATCCGTAAGGTCCCTGAAAAATATCACCTGGTGAGACCTGCTCACAGTCACTGCACTGGGTCACTCTCTCTGGGTGCTCCTGCATCTTTTTTTTTTTTTTAACACACTACAGCTCTATGTTCATTTATTTGTCTTTCAGGGTGGATTGCTATTCTGGGTGCCATCTGGTTGCTGATTTTAGCTGATATCCACGATTTTGAGATAATTCTGCACCGAGTGGAGTGGGCAACACTTCTGTTCTTTGCAGCACTTTTTGTTCTGATGGAGGTGAGACTTCAGAGCTTATGCAGAATAATCTTTTACCTAGTTTTTAAATTTTATGTTTTATTCAGTGAATGAAGAAAGTTGGTCTTTTACTATGTGGAAAATGATGGAGGTTGTAATTAGACTATTTTTTTTCAAATACTTTATTTATTTACTTTTAGAGAAAGAGGAAGGAAAGGATAAAGAGAAGAAGAGAATAGTGTGTGGCTGTCTCCCGCACGCCCCCTACTGGCAACCTGGCCCACAACCCAGGCATGTGCCCTGACTGGGAATATAACCAGCAACCCTTTGGTTTGCAGGCTGGCACCCAATTCACTGAGCCACACCAGCCAGGAGCCAGGGCTAATTAGACTATTTTAAGTTCACTCAGTGTTGTTGTTTTTTTTGTCTCAGCCACCTGAATATTTCTGATAAAATTGGCTGGATTGCCAGTGGATATTTTTCCTCCCTTGAATTATCTTTGGGGTTTGTCAACTCCCACTCAACTAATTTTCCATAAAGTAGCATTTGCTCTAAATGGAGTTTGGAGCCAAAGGACTTCTTACAGCTAGTTTATGGGGGTAACAGCTTGGTCATCTATTGCATTTTGTGTAACAATTATTATATATTCTGTATCATTGCGGAAAAGGCTGCCTTAGAGAAAAGAGTGAATAACACGTATTGTTCTAGTTATAGTTGTTACAAAATCATTCCCGAAGTGTCTCAGTCGTGAGACTTGAGTTATAAACCTGTGTCCTCCTCAGATGCAGAGGTTTAGTGATGTTGAGGTTTCCTCAGATTCTCCAAATGTCTCACGTCAGTCACCCAAACGCGCAGATGACAAACCCGCTTGTTCCTAATCCTCTCTGGGTGAAAGCCTTCCTGCTTGTTCTTTCTCACTGTCTGGGAGTCCGGTCCTGTGACTGAGTGACCTCTGTGACTTCGCCCGTGACGGGCTGTGTAGCGGTAACCGCGTGACTGCGGTGGGCCCTCCCCAACTCCCAGGTAGCTGTGACTCCTGTTCTGCATCCTCTGTTCCCTCCTCAGAAATGTCGCCTTTTCTCTTCCAAGTGTCCTGCCCACACCGAGCACATTGAGTGTGGGGGGGGAAGTCCTGGGTGCTGGTTTCACGACTTGGGGAGTCTCCACCGAAACGACACATTACTGCAGGTGTCTATTGCTATTCATTGGATTTTGGGCATATTTTTCTCAGTTTTATACCGTGTGTTGACTGGGTAGAAACTGGAATATTTATTTAGTTATTTAAGAAAGAGGGGAAGGGAGAGAAAAAGAGAGGGAAAGAAACATTAATGGGAGAGAGAAACATCAATTGTTTGCTTCCTGTATGCACCTTGACCAGGGATCGAACTTGCAACCCAGGCATGTGCCCTGACTGGGAACTGAACCGGCGACCTGTTGCTCTGTAGGACAACACCCAGCCCACTGAACCACACTGGTTGGGGCTATATTCATTTTTTTTTCAACCGCAGAAATGTATGGTAAAGGTAATGTTAAATTTAAATGAAACAATAATGACTACACATTAGTCACATCACAGCAGTCCTATGCTGACATTTAATTTTTTTGTACTTATGTGTTTTTCTCCATATGTTTTTGTTTATGCTTCTAATTCATTTAACATTAAGAACATTTCTGGGAAGTGGATTTCTTTTTCAGAAAGCAGCCAGCAATAATTTTCACAATATTTATGACCAATCTATATGTTTCTTGTTCTAACAAAGGTTTTCCACGCATAACCTTGCTTTCCTAAAATAACTTGCAGTTAACAGTATTTTGACCTGCTTTGGGCTGTACCAGCCTTTTAAACTGCCAATGAGTGAACACAGAATTGCAAGGCAATCAATTTGGCATTGATTTTTGTGAGTATAGGGAATGCCAGATCTGGGGGATGTCAGTTGCTTTTAGCTTTGCTTCACATTTTTCTCTAGTTCTTACAAGTTTCTCAGAGCTCTTTTTGCATAACTATTTTTCAGAGTTGCATGTCTCTCTCCATCTCATGTTTTCTTATTTATGTATTTATTTTTAGAGAGAGGGGATGGGAGGGAGAAAGAGAGGAAGAGAAACATCAATTTGTAGTTGCCTTTTGTGTGCCCCCTACTGGGGACCTGGCCCACAACCCAGGCATGTGCTCTGACTGGGAATCAAACTGGTGACTCCTTGCTTCACAGGCCAGCACTCAGTCCACTGAGCTACACTGACCAGGGGTCATGTTTTCTTACAAAATATTTTTTTCCACAGAGAGATCATTGCAGACTGTTTCTTGAAAATGCCGTGGCACTCCCACCCACTAGGGTTTGGGTACCACCAGGAAGCTCTCTCAGGCATGGAAGTGCCCATCAACACATCTTTTTTTATTTTATTTTATTTCTTTATTTTTAGAGGGGAAGGGAAGGAGAGAGGGAGAAATGGTTTTTTTCTCGTCCCTGATTATTAGGCAAAGAGCATTTGATGAGCCCTGACCTGCGTGGCTCAGTTGGTTGAGCGTTGCCCTGCAGAGCCACAGGTCACTGGTTTAATTCCCAGTCAGGGTTAAGATTCCATCCCAGGTCGGGGCGTGTATGGCAGCCCATCAATGTTTCTCTCCCTCTCTTCTTTCCTCTCTTTCTAAAAATAAATAAATAAAATCTTTAAAAAAGATAACTTGATGAGTTCCCACTTGCCACTTTTTTAATGTATTCCCTTTTCTCTTTTATCTAGTATTCTGTTCCACTGGTCACTAGGAGAAACTTTAAGGCCTGGCTAAGCGGCAGAGATTTTAGTGGATTCTGTGATTGCTTTTCTTATTTGAAGGCTCTAGTAAGCAAATACTGTTCCTTTCTTTCCTGTCTCCTTTTCCACTACTGTTGCCATGATCTTTCTTTCTTCATTTTATTCTCTTGGTTGTTCTGATGTCTTGCCTCATGTTCATTTATGTCAACACTCCCTTCGGTACCTTGTCATTTTCCCCTCGTTTCTGAGAAATCTCTGGACGTTTAAAAATGTTGTTCCAAAGTGCAATCAACTGTTCATTCCTCCCTCTTGTTTACGTGTTGTGTCTGACATGACGGTGGATGATTGTATTTCCAAACACCTGCCGGAGCATGTCTAATTCGGTGTGAAGCGTGGACTTGGAGTTGCCTTCTGCTCGGTGCACGGTTTCGAAACGGAAGCCTCAGTCGATACGTGTTCACTTTCAAATCCTGATGTCGTCTTGGTAGCTCTGTATACACGACTTTGTTTTCCTCTTGTAAATGTACTGCTATTGGGTTTGCCTGTTTTTTCGTACCTTTTTTTTTTTTTTTTTTAACAATCCCTATTGCACGGCACCCTCTTCTGTCCCTGGTGCAAAGTGTGGATGCTTTTGAGTTGACCCCACTATGACCACTTGGTAGCCAGAAAGAAGTGTCTCTCCCTCCGGACTGACCCTCTGCTTGGGTTTGTCTCAGTCAAGCCTCGTGGGGCAGTGGGAGGAGACTGGGGTGGGCGTGGCCAGGCCTCGGCCCTGGGTTCTTTTCTAATTTACAGACACTGTGGGTCGGATGTTCTCTGAGCTCAGTTACGCGGATGGCCTGGTTTTGTGTGGTGCGTTCTCCCTTCCTGTTTCGCTTACCATTTGGGGAAGGAATTTGGAAGTCAGGCCATTCTATCAGTGCCGTTTGGCTACTCCCGTGGCCAGTGTCTAGAAGGGAACCAGTGTCCCTCAATCTCCCAACGCGGAGCCGCGTGCACGCGCGAAGGCCTGAGCGGGGTCCCAGTGTCCGGCAACGCGGGGAGCTGGTAGCTGTGGGCGGGCGTCCTGGAGCCCAGAGGCGCGAGGCTCGGCGTCTCCCTGTGACTTTGCAACTCAATCTTCCCCTCGCGTGTCCTGCTCTTGGATGACCAGAGAGGCACTTTCCTGCCAGGTTTCTGCCCATCTGGAGCCAGCGCCCCGGCCTGTGGGCCCCGCAGGGTGCGCAGCTTGGGCATCAGGTCGCGCTCCCACACCGGACCCCGCAGTGCAGGGCCTTGAGGTCGCCCTGGGTCTGGGTCGCGGTGAATCTGGCGCTCAGCACCCTGCGGTCCCTCGTCTTACAAGCGCAGCTGGAGTGTCTCCTGCGGAAAGGTTGGCGCCCCAGGTGTTGCGCCCGCGATGGCGAGCCCCCCCCCCCCCCACTGCTCCCCGAGAGACCTCCCCGCCCCGAGGGCATGGCCTCTGCCCTGCTGGCCTGGGCCCCGTGTTGGCCGGCTCACGGGCTCAGGACCCGAGGAATGGAAGGGGAGCCCGGGCCCTCGGGAGGTGCGTGTCTCCGCGCAGGCTCCGGGTCCGCGGGGAAATCGGGCGGAGCTGGGACGTGGACTCGCGCGGAAGCGGAATTTATAAAGGGCGAGACCGAGTTTAAGCCTCTCTGAGGGCGTCAAGGTGAACGGAACGTTCTCCAGCCGTAGAGCCAGCGCCCGAGGTGTGAGGACGCCTGTCTTTGTAAACGTCCCCTCCTCGGAGCGCGGACACTGGTGCTTCGCGTCATTGCGAGGGGACGTCAGGAAAAGTGGTTTCCAGACACTGGGATGAAATGTTAACAACTTTCCTCTGGAATAAAAAGTTCCACCTTCTTATGTATAAAAAGTATTCTGTGAATATTAAAAATTAATGTCTGAGCGTGAGAACGTGGACCACGGTAATAACGCAGGTGCAAACCGCCCCCCCCCCCCGCAGTGTTTTATCAGGATGGGACTTCGATACCTCTGGACCGTCCCCAAAGGACTTAAGGGGTGGCCCTGCGTCTCTGCTGGGCCGCAGGGGCAGGGCGGGGGTGGGGCGGGGATGGGGGTGCGGGGGCCGGTTGGCCCTTGGGAAGCAGGGATTTCCCAGGGGTTCTCGGTAGTAGAGGGCGCCTTCCAGCGAGTGGGTGGGGGTTGGAAATTACTTAAATCCTCCTTCTATCTTCCAGTGGACACGTTCCGAGCTCTTTGATACTCAGATTTTGAGCGTAACTGGGGCTGTGCGGAGGTGTGTGTGGGGGGCAATCCCTGAGCCCTGCAGTATT